ATATAGCAAAGATTCGTTGGCGACAAGTTGGACATTAATGGAGAAAAGTCAAGGGTTTTGATTACGTGGTTAATGACGTTTGTACCCTTCTATTATTAAGGCGTGTAAGCTTATGCTTTCAAAATTTTTGGACCAATGTTGCCTATTTTCTTTTGTGTTAGAAGTTAAGGACTTGTCTAATAAAAAAGAGGACAAACCCTAAACATAATAGATAAAAAATCTCGAGTAATATTTCTTTGTCATTTCATTTTCAATGATTAACAGGCATCGCATTAGCTTAGAATAGTAATAATAAAAGAATGTGATATTTGACATGTATTACTTGTGAATTGAATATAAGTATATTGGGATAAGCATCAACATTTTCTCAAACACATATCCATTGAAAATTTGTTCGATGTTGAGAGACGAAGGAAAACCCAAGAAATTGAATTTGTCAATACTAGGAGGTGGAGAACAGCCGAGCAGATACATTGCTTGGAAAATGGCTGCGGATTGCAAAGCACAATTGTCAATTGACCAGTTTCATTATTTATGTACAATTGGGATCTGGGTATGCTTTCTTTGACTGCTTTATTGGAATGAGGCTGCCCTACGCGGCAAATCTCATCCTAATCAGTTTGCTGTGATGAAATTCTATCAGAGAGTAAAGTAGTTTCCAAAACGATGAGCTTCTTTTGGTCAAACATTTTTGGGAGGGGATATTACAATTCTAATTAAGTAGTTTCTACTTCTTTATCATTCATACTCCAGCCGTTGAGGTCAAATAGAAGGATCCAATGAGAGAATCAATTTGGTTTGAATGAAACCAATATCGTTTACCAATAACAGTTTATTTTTTATGCAAAAGAAAATTTTCCCCATAATCTTCCTTCAAAAGTTGCGCTGTGGACTACATTTGTCACTGCAATTAAATTTGTCTCTTTCTATTTGTAGTAGTGGAAAGCATCACATCAACATCTGTGAGCCATCTAGATTGATTGATGGCTCTCTACAAACTACTATAGAGGCCAACGACAAGGACAATTCATTTATTTATAGAGTTCGATGCATAAAACTAACCAACCATGACATTGATATGCATACTTCCATTTATATTATATATATTCTGGTTTCCACCAATGAATTTTGGACTGTCCACTTAAAAGTTAAAATTATGTAATTAAAATTTAATGTTCGTAATAAGTACTTTAATATCTTTTATTATTTGATACAATTAAATAAAATTAAAAAATTTTATAATTAAATTCGGATAGTAAAATTACTACCCGTCATAGATTCAAGTAGTGATTTGAAAATATTTGTTGCTTAAACTTAATTATAAATAATAATTTTATATATATTAATTTTTATTTTTAAAATTACTTATAATTAATATAATATTTATTAAAATTCATTAATTGTTTTAAATATAATTTTAAAATATAATTTATTTTTTTAAGAGTTGATTTTTAATTTATTAATTTAATTTTTAATAATATATACAAAATTTGATTTTAAATAAATTTATTTTAATTGAGTTCAAGTTCAAATTTTTTACAAGTAAATTTGAATATTAAGGGTTAATTTTTATAAATTTTAATCGAATTTAAGTTCGAATTCTTCAAAATTAATGGATACAGTATTCCTTATCCACACTCTTAACCTAACTATTGATTATCTAAGGGTAGAGCTAATTGTTTAAGTTATTTTCAAAAAGGAAATTGTTAAAAAGGTCGCCGTTTGTTTGATCTTTGTGGAAGAATATTTAAGACTGGTTTATTTTTGGAGACTAATTCAATTAAAACGTGGTATATTCTACTTGTATGATGCAGGACAAATTATCGCTTAATTTGTTAGTATTAGTATGCGACGACAATGGCAAGAATTCAAAGGAGGAAACAGTTAGGTTTAGGAAAAGAAGTTAAAATATAAATATATATATAATTATTTTTTATGATTTAAAATTTATGAATATTAATTGGTTTAAATTTATTCATTTACAATATGACAGCAGCACATGAGAATTTATACACTGACGGTGCAAATGAGAGACTTACATGCAAGCTAGCGAGGAAGGTTGGGGTACAAGTCAAGAATAGAGGAGCAAAGCAAATCCTAGTCAATCTAGGAGAAGACATGCAATCCTGTTAGGAAAAGAAAGTAAATGTCGGTTCTAGGAATTATATAAAGGACATTAAATTCTTTGCGCTAATAAATCGTAAGCATGGTGATTTCTCTCGCAATTCTCTTGTGAGTTCCTCCTGTTGCTTTCGGCAGTTGAATTCTAGGCGATTTTCATGAGCACCATGGGCGGTAATATTGGCACTAGAACACGCCATAAGAGGCCATTGCGTGAGTTTCTTTTCAATTTGTTTAATGTTTTAATTATGGTGTTTCGTTCATCATTCTTTTTCATGGGAATACGTTTTCTTGAACTTCAAGTCACAAAAATAAAAGAAGCAAATGCTGAGTTAATAACATAGGATGAACTGCAGGTAGGGGTAGACGTCAATCAGCTAGAAGAGGCATTCTGCTTGATGACGACGCTAGTAGTGATATGGGCAATTTTCAGGGTGCACCCAAGACTCTTGATGCTTACTTCAGAGAGTTGTCTGACAAAAGGTATATATAATTATATTTTAAATAAATTTAACCTTTTCTTTTACCCTCTGAACTTTGGTGTTTTAAGGTTTCCTTTCATAACTAATTAGATTTCAACTTGTTACGTTGTTTCACCTCCAGTTTATAAGTATTTCTTGTTTATTCTGTAAATGCAGGGCAAAGAGAGAGCAAGCTCTGTCACCAATTCTCGAGGCTTTAACTGACAACATAGAGCAAAATTTTGTAGAAGAGAAGTAAGCATTATTTTCCTTTTGATAATACTCTGCTAGTAATATACATATAAACCAGGTAATGCTCACAATTATGATCATCTTCTTGCAGCTTTGTAACGCTGCTGTATCACTGCCTGCATTGCCTTAAAAAGGGTTCTGCTAAGGAGATGCAGCAAGCAGCACATATTATTGGTAGGTTCAATCATTCATAACTCTGCAATTATTGATTAAACTTAGAAATTTAACTTCTTGTAGTTCTCATACATACATATTGTTCTTGTAGGATTGCTGGCAATGATTACTAGTTGTGTTGACCATGCACACGAAGCGTATGAAGATGTACTGACTGCACTTTCCCAGCAACGTAAATCTAAGCTTAAGACCTTGAAGGTAAAATTATTGTATCCTATGATGCTGTGAATTAGTAATAGTGTTACTAAGCTGATTAATTAAGATTTGAGTTTTTTGGATATCGCCTACATGATTATGCTTCATGGACTTTGTTATAATTTTCTTTCCCTCTACAGATTCTTGACTGCTTGGCTGTTGTTACCTTTTTTGGTGCAAGCAACTCAGATGAGACTGAACAAGCAATGCAGTTAATATGGAACTTCATTCACCCTGAATCTCATTCTAATGTATGTGGTCCACCTAAATCCTTTAATATTTCCTTATGTTGTTGAGTACAACAATTTAAGCTACAGAATTTAAGCAAGTCTAACTGAGATTTCTGTCTATATGATTCTGTAATTTGCTTAGTCAATTCTTAAATTTCCTTCTATGTTCCAGATGGAAAGGAAGCATTCACCAGATGTTTTAACAGCTGCAATATCTGCTTGGTCCTTTCTTCTCACTACCATTGATGGATGGAGGCTGAGTTACAAAAACTGGCAAGGGTCAGTCTTCTAATTAAACAGTTTTATTTATTGTAAATATATTTGTTTTTCTACCTACTTTGACAGTTTGATAAAAGAATTTCTTATTTTAAATTTTTCCTGAAAATGCTTACTCCCATGGACACTATATCTTTTTGCCTCTAAACTATTCCAACCTCTAGATAATTATTAGACTCTGCCTTTTTTCTCTACATACAAATTTCTCCTGCTATAGCATCAAAAGAGCACTGGGAATAACATTGGTAGCTTTGCAAATTTGGATGCAGGGCAATTCCATACTTCTCAAACCTACTGGACAACAATGATGAAGCATTATGTGCAGCAGCTAGCGAGGCTCTTGCTTTGATCTTTGAAACCAACTGTCTGGAGAAGTTCTCAACTGAAGCTAAGGATTCTCATGGCTCAATTTATGAAGGTGGTACATCCGTTAAGATATATTTAACAAAGGAAGAATTGAAGGACAATATTATAAAGCAACTCAGAAGCCAGTCCACCAAAGCAAGTAACGAAAATATTCCTGTTCAAGATGCAAGAAACGGGTTTGATGCTATCTCAGCTGCTTTAAAGTTTTTGGAGGTAATGATTTTACTGTGTTTATACACATATATTTAATTGAATATCTTGAGCTGGCAAAATAATCTTAAGTCACTTACTTTCAGGAGAACTGTCCAAATACCTGTGTGACAATAGGGGGGCAGGAACTCATGTTATCAAAATGGTCTCAGAAAATACAGGTATTTAACTTTTCTTCACAGTTCTTTGAGCATTGGTTTGTTAATTTATTTTCTTCATCTCTTGCAAAGAAACTAAATCTTTTTCTGCTTCCAACTGCAGCTAAAGTTTGTGAAGCATTTTCTAGGAAAAAATGGATTTGTAAAGCATATGATGGTAGGTTTAAATGATCTTCTCTTTTTACCCTGAAAATCTGTCATGCATTTTCTTTGATACTCAAGTTACTTGTTCTGCAAACAGCAAAATGAAAACTTCCATAATGTCTTTGAGTTTATGCCGAAAAAAAGGAATTCTTTAAGCAGCATAATATATGAACCAGAAAGAGAAGAGGTCAGTTTATGTGTTCATTTGAATGGTTCATGTGTATGTATAGTCCTTTTGCTTTAGGTTCCATCATGTCTAAAACTTGCTAATTTGACAGGTCACTGTTCGTTTTTTCCAACCTCCCGTTGTGAGATGCCAGGATTCCTCTCTGCTACCATTCATAAGCAGAGAAGAAAGGCAGTTACAAAAGGTAGCTCTTTTTGGCTCAAGGGATTTACACTGGTGTATTCATCTTTTACACTTTTTCATGTGAATATGCATGTAATCAAGGGGTTGAATTTTGTACTCATTTTTGCATCTTCCTCTCCCTTACAGAAAATGACCATGTCACCCAATTCATGCTTGAGCAAGGCAAGAACTCAGTTACTGAACAAGCAGCGACTGTTATCACAGGTAGCTTCCTTTTGCATTTTAGTCATAACATGATCCTTTATGGTCCCTTGGTAAAAAGAGGGTCACTAGGAAGTTAGGCACACAATATAATAGAACTGAATTACCGGAAAAGCTGTCCTCATGTATCAACTTTCTAATGTTAAGACAACCTATGATTAGCAGTTCTAAAGTCAATAATAAGATTTGTTTATTGATGAAACCTTAATCTTAACCTCAGTGTTCTCTTTAAACAATCTTCTAATCTTTTAACTGATGTTTGAATATGCTTTCATATGCAGGGGGGGAGACTTAGAGAGAGTGCTTGCTTTGCTGTTGCGGATGAAAATTAGGTAGAGAAGAGAAGAGCTGTTGAAGTGCACCTGACTCAATGCTCAGATTGACAACAAAATTTATTTTTAGCTTAGTTTTTATTTATGTCTTGCAATTTTTTTGTTATCATAGCTTTGATTAGACAACCATCATTGTGATACTTGTTTAAGAAGCAATGGCAACTATTTTCTTTTATTTAATTTGTTAGAATAATTCTCTGTTTTTTGAAAATTGAAACACAAGTTTTTTTATTTTTGATATTTGGTGGAACTGTCATAGTTCTAAGACTGGTATAAAATATAACTGGTCAAGCAGGGCAATCACTTGAGCAAGGTCAAGCCACATTTAAATATGGTTCACTGTAATGCAATTATAGGCCAAGTAACTTAAAGCAGATGCTAGAGAACAATAATGTAACCTTGTTAAAGAGTTAGAATTAAGGAGGGTATATATTCTCTTGGCATATGCATTGCCACACTTGAGGATAGTACTCATGTTCTTGAAAATCCGCTGCTCGAATTGATATTTCAACCGGCATGCAGGGCTTGCACTGGTTGCACTTCGAATGACAGGCAACAGGAAGTGAGCCAGGCCTTCTCATTCCTGCAATCAGGTCCAAACTTATCTGTAGAGAATATATATCGATCGATACAAAAGCATTCAAAGAATGTTTGTTAAGTCAAGGCACATGGCAATGATATTTATAATGGTATAGTAGAAACAATAAAAAGGAAACAACCAGGGGAACAAGATATATTGTGGCTGTGGGATGCACTAACCGGAGAAGGTGATGGTAAGCCAGCTAGCTTACGAGAGTGAACCGAGCTAGAAGAAATAAGAATAGTAAGCAAGAGAGTGATGCTGATGTTGGTGGCTTTGGTTCTCTGTTCCATTCTTGGGAGCAAATACAAAACTCTTGGGGAAATTATTAATTGAACTGGTCTTGTACAAGATGATGGCAAATATTTATACATGGAAATTGAGAAGTTGTTGAATCTTCTTTTACATAACATGAAGAAATGGTCAAAATGCTCTCAACTGCCAAGATCATCATCAATAAGTCTTGGACAGAATGAGCCATGTGCTTGCAGATATGGTTTTAGCCTTTATCCGTAATACTGAAAGAACATGCAAAACCGCCAAACCGGGTCGTGTCTTCTGCTCTTTGATTCTTAGATACATTTAAACTGTTCAAAAAAAATTAACAAGCAGGAGTAGCTCAGTTCCATTTTGGTTCTGGGATTCTGGCCCTAATAATGGACTCCACAAACTTTTTAATTCCACTTCTGTTCTGGGTTTCCGGCCCTAATAGTGACAAACTTTTTCATTTACGTTCTGGGATTCTGGCCCTAATAATGACCTATTAAACATGGACTCAGAAGAAAGCTAAACATATGCAAATGATACCTCACTTGCTGCTAAAAAAACTGTTTCATTTTCGTTCTGGGCTTCTGGCCCCAGTAAGGACCTGTTAAACATGGACTCAGAAGAAAGCCATATATATGTAGATGATAGCTTACATACTGCATGCTCTGCTAATTTCTAAGTCCTAACACACCATAAGCTATTCTACTACTATACCATTGTAGTTGGTAGCAGCACTCCAACTAATGTTATTGCCTACATAGACACAGAACCTTCTACACTTGCATTCACAGTCTGCCTGACAACGAAATGGTGCCTTACTTGGTTCTCACTAGTAGAACCCACAAAAAGGGTATGCTGCCCTGTAATTAACTTCCTGTTCCCTTCAGCATCCACAAGCGTCAACTCCTTGCAGACACCCAAGCTCATTGTCGCATTCTGTGTCTTTCCTCTCTTCACTTCCAGCCTCTCAAACCCAACTAACTGCACGTTTGGTGCACCGGTCACCACTCTTGAGCTTGGTGGCTTCCAGAACAAGAGCACCACATGGGCCCCATTCATTGGTCCATTGTTCTTCACCCCGATGACAAGATTAAATTGCAGATCGTTGCAGTTTATGTTTGAAACATCAATTGCTTCACCATTAGAGTAAGCATATGGTTCGCGGATGGATTTAGAGGAGAGAATATTATTTGGTGTTGATTGGATGAGTATTGTGGAAGGAGCAGATAATATGAACTTGGAGAATGACGTATAGCTTAGTCCATGTCCAAATTCATAAATAGATTTGCCAGTGTAGAAGCGGTAGGTTCTTCCAGGAAAATTTTCGCTGGCGTTAGCTCTCATATTCATGTCTGTGATGGGAACCTGATCTGCATACTCTTGTGGATACCATGTAAAAGGAGACCTTCCAGCTGAAACAAGAAACCATTTATGAGCATACTGATGTTTAGAGGCACCTGCATTCAAAAGAAATAAAAAGAAGGAAAGACAACCTGGATTATAATCTCCAAATATGACTTGAGCAATGGCTTCTCCCCCAGCTTGACCAGGATATCCGACCCACAAAATGCCTCCAATTTGGTTCACATTCTTTGCAAAAGAAATATCAATAGGGCCAGCAGCCATAATCACAAGAATCACTGTTCCATTTGCTGCATTTGCAACATCAGTCACCAACTTTTCTTGATATCCTGGCAATGTTAAGTTCACTCTATCCAGCCCTTCTGCCTCAATAGATTGATCTAGCCCCACAACTACCACCACAGCATCAGCCTTGGATGCAGCCTGAACTGCAGCCTCAATAAGTGTCTCATTACTGCATTTTACATCGCTACACCCTGCTTCATATGTAACCACTGAGACGTACTTTTGCAATCCTTGTAAAGGGCTAGTGTAGTGGCAAGGTACACCAGCATAGTTACTTATCATTACTGTTGTGGCATTAGCATTTGGTCCTATAACAGCTAAATTCTTGGTGATATTTTGGGACAAAGGAAGAGCTCCATTGTTGTCTAGTAAGACTATTCCCTGCTTGGCAGCATCAAGGGCTAGCAGCTGATGATCATCAGCGCATACATCAGATGGCCCCAGATCACCGAATAGAAGCAGTTTGGGGTTTCCGTCAAAGAAACCAAGCCTCATAAGGACTATATAGTTATATAATAAAGCCTGGTCAACAATAGATTCTTCCACTTTTTTTAAGTTGACTGCATTTACGGTGTACTTTCCCAGATAATCCCCACAGTTCATGTTTAAACCTGCAGAAATTAAACGATCATGTAGTATAAGTAAAAGTGAAATTAAACGCATTGATTTGAGTATTTTAGTGAAAATATCCAGCCGCTGCTAGCTTATCAGTGGCAACAAGACCTGCTTTTAGAGCAACTGCTACGGCATCTTCAGGTGTAGCAGTGTAATGGATGCTATTATAAAAAACCGCAACAGAGTCGCAGTCTGAAACAATATATCTGCCAAAAGCATGTAAAATGTCATTGAAGCACAAAGAACACTATCACTTAAGAAATTATCAACCAATAATTGCAGAAACAATAATGACTTTGTATTTTGGTGTTAGAGGATAACGATCAATAGTTAATTTCTGCAAAAAAAAAAATCAGCATTTCATCAGGTAAAATGTGAAGGCACGGGGTTTATTTATGCTAATTTTATGATCAGTAATAGGAATTAATAATTGTGGCCTGGACTCTCGAGTCTTCAATTTTTAAATGAGATAAAATTGTGTTTCTTTCTAGTGAAATGGAGACAAATCACTACTTCATAAAAGGCTTAATATCTAGTAAGGAAAATAGAAACACACCCATCAAGACCCCACTGGCCTCTAACTATTCCTTTTAGCAGGTCTGGATCAGCACAGGTAGGAATCCCATTCACCCTGTTGTATGAGCACATTACACTGCTCACATGTCCCTCCTCAACACAGCTCTTAAACGGTGGCTGATACGTATCTTCCAAGTCCTGTTTCGTAACCTGATGCAATCCAAGTTTTAATATTAGTATGACACACAAGATCTATAATGCGGCAATACATCTTTTATATTTATTTTTGCTTTGCAAAGTTAAAAGCACTCAAAATTTACCAACTCCAATCACTGGTCCCTGAATGCCATAAGATTTTCCCGATTCCAATTTTTACAGAGGTTTGCTAAAATCTCAGTGTGTATTCACAATGTTTATGGATCAGTAAGTCATTGAAGTCATAATTAAGCACTCCATCAACTCTACCAAGCATCAAACACTGGTTATTAAGTAACTCTACTGATACGCATACCTTTGCATCAAAATGGAATCGATCGACGCCTTTCCAATTATCCAGATCGTAAGCAGTGTAGTGCTTGCAACAACTTGAAACCTTAAGCTTGTCATGGGTAGAGTTTGACTCCCCACCCACTTCTTGCAATCCCCGAACATAATTGACAGCATATCTTGAGACCACCAGAGGGTCCTCCCCTGGCGTTTCTTGGCCACGTCCCCATCTCGGGTCACGAAACACGTTAACATTAGGGCTCCAATATGTCAAGCCCGCTAACCCTACATTGTACATGGCTCGAGCTTCTGTTGACACTACCTGCCCCATCTTAAACCATAATGTCGCGTTGAAACTTGCAGCAGACAAAATTACAGCGGGGAAACTAGTTGCACCAGGCACTGTGGCATTAAAACGTGTGCCTGGTCCCAGGTCTGAGACACCGTGAAGTGCCTCAGACCACCACTCATAGGCAGGCACACCAAGCCTGGAAATGCCAGAGGCCGTGTTTACTAGTTGTTGCACCTTTTCTTGGAGAGTCAAGCGTGAAACAAGGTCCTTGGCTCGATCCTCATAAGATAAGGCGGTGTCACAAAAGGGGAACTGGTTCGTATTGGGATCATTCTTGTCACATGCAAATTGCTGAGTGTTACATGGGACTACTAGGAAAAGTGAGAGACACAGAGTTAAGGAAACTTGCGTTTTCATGGCTTGCTGGCTTAAGTTTCCTTTACATGGTGGAATATTGCCAGCCCTTGCAATTCTTTTATAGAAGAAGATGAAGTATATAAAAGGGTTGGTCTCGTCTTTTTCTTGTCTTTCATATATAACAGGAATGAAGGGTTGCTTGCGATGTGAGACATAGAAATGGTCTTCCCGTGTAAGAAGTATAATTTTGCTAATGAACGAATAACACTTTGATGCTTAGACAAAATAAAAGCTTCTTTAACTCTCAATGGCATTATACTCATGGACCACCAAATATACATGGTAATATTCCTATTACAGTCCCGAATTAGGTGAGGCAAAATGATACTAATACAAATCTGCATAAACTAAAAATGAATGAATTGATCAAATGCATCTTTGCTCTTTGTTAATTTCTTTGAGGAACACTTTCATCTTAAGCAAGAGAAGCCCAATTAATCATGAGAGGCCAGGCCACGTAAACATCTGAAAATTTTTGAAAGTAATCAGTTGTCTTACTTTTGCAGCGCTGCAATCTGCATCACATTCTGGTATTGGTCTGTCTTGGGCTGTTAAACCAAGGATGGTGATTCGTGGCTTAGTCAACTTTCATGAGAATACTTTGCGTGAAAAAAAGTGTAACTATCTTTTTCATAACCTTGCACAATTCCTTTTCCGACAATGATTGTAGTCGTATCATAGTTACCACTTGCTAATTTGATATGCCGATAATCTTTGGTCTAAGGCAGGAGGATTATATGTCAAGCAAGGGACACTTTGAGCAAAGATAAATATAGATTTGTGCGCACTCATTGAAGGGTGCCTTTGAAGAGAATGCAAAGAAAATAGGGCACGCCATACAGAGCCCAACAAGGCACCCATATGTACGACAAGTATCAAACACCAAGGTGGAATCTGATATAGAGATAGCGTAATTGAACTTCAGCCCTCTATTTAACATTATTTTTTCACTAATATAATTAGGTTCAAGTGTCTAAACAATATGATAAAGCAACATCTTCCCTTCTTTCGTTTACCTTTTTCTTTTTTTTTCCTTTTTGTCTATTTTGGAAA